ACTTTGATAAATTATCAAACTTAATTTTCTTAAAAAAGTCTCAATTTCCCGAGAAACGATTTGTATGCTTCCTTAACATACTCGCGCATTTTGCGCGCACATGCATGCACGTGCGTGCGTGTGCAATGCGTAAAATGACCAATGTACTTGATAAAGCTGTAACTTGTATATTTTTTGATGAAATGCTTTGATACTCAGAATATAAGGATATATTAAAAGTGTCGACAACATGCACATGCATGCACGTCCGCGCACGCGCAAAGCGTAAAATGACCAATTTACTTTATATAATCGTAACTTTTATACTTTTTGATGATATGCTTTGATACTCAAAATATTTATTTATATTGAAAGTGTAGAAAGATAACATGGTCATCATGCCGTGCGCGCGCTTGCAATGCGTAAAATGAAAAAAATATTCTTGATGTAGCCGTTACTTTTATATTATTGATAAAATGCTTTGATACTCAGAATAATAATATATTAAGACATATTAAAGTGAAGAAAGGATGATATCGTTATTAAGCACATGGATGCACGTGCGCGCGCGTGCAATGAGTGAAATGACTAAATAAATGTAATTGATATAGCCGTAACTTTTACATTTTTTTACAGGGAATAAGACTTTTAAAGGGAGTTGGGGAGCGTTTGGGGAACATCTGTAACGGTTCCAGTTACAATTAGCACTAGTTTATGTTGCAATATATGCCAATAATACACTTTCATGTAAATTAGTTGAATCTGATTCGTCGAGAAACATTTGTTAATAAAACTATTACCCGCTGAATAATGAAGCCACGCCCTCCAGTGTAGCAACAGTCAACATTGCTTGCGCAAAATCTTTGCGCGCAAGGTTCACTGTACATATGTATTTGAACAAAACATTCAGCACAATATAATAAATATTACATATAGTTGAGTGTAACATTGAAAACTTTTACCCCTCGAATACCATTGTCAATCTCGGCTGCGTTTCGGTTGACAATGGTTTTCTTGGAGTGAAAATTTTCATTGTAACACTCAACTGCATGCAATATTTATTTAATATCACATATCACATAGTTCATATTATCTCTCAGTGGACTCGATATGCAATAGCATGTTCTGTATACAGTTAAACTTCGTTATCTCGAGATTGATAGGACCGAGAAAAAACTTTGAGCTATCGAGGACACGAGATATCAAAGGTAAAATACTTAAAGCAATATGAGCTGCATTTTTGAGAATTTTATTTTGCTATTATAATGTGTAATTATGATAAATTTGTATGCAATTTAAACATTTTTTTATCAATTAGCAGAAATAAAGTATCAAATTGTTTCAGAATATAGGATTCTATACAATCAAATACATAGTATTACATGTATATAAGAAATCAGTATTGTACAGGACGACAATAATGTAATTTTGCTTCAATCAAAATACTTATAAATACTTCATCCATCGCAAATATGAACAACAAAAGTTTATAAACGTTCTTTTTTCTGTCATTGAAATAGTTAATTACAATTTTGCAACAAAAATTTCTGAAATCAAAGTTGCAGCTCATATTGCTTTAAATAATAAATGTGTTTGAGATATACATGTATTACTTTGGGACAAATTACTTTGACATATCAATGGTATTCGAGATATCTCTTTTCGAGATACAAAATTTCATCTGTACAAACCAAAGGCAAATTGGGATTTTTTAAAAAGCACAAATTTTGCCCAAAGAGACCTTAAATTTGGCCATTTAGTGTTTTGTTTTTCTCTGTGTCTTAGGAATCATTCAGCCTGTACATAATACTATATGAAGGAGAAAACTATAAAGTCACACACAAACATATGCATCCCATTCTGTTTAACCAAACAAACCTTTTACGCATCGAATTGTGTGTAATGATACCAGTTTTACACAATTCATAAAATATAATGCTGGTCGTGAAAGTCTGAAAACAATTATCAGGATTTTTAATTCTTTAGTTGATTTTGTCAACTCGTCAGGGATATTTTATTTTTAAGATAACGGGACAAGTCAAGTAATGCAAAAACTTTTTTTCAAACAGGAGGTTAATGTAAAAGCATTTTACTGCGTGTATTTATTTGTTGTTCAAACAAAATGTCGTCCATGTGGCTCTAAAATATAAAAACATGATTTTTCCGCTATTTCCCGATCATGACAAGGGCACACGGCGGGTGTGACCGGCCGGCAGGGAATGCTCACTCCTCCATGGCACCTGATCCCAACTTTGATGTTTTTGAAGGTCCGTGTTTGCTCTGCTCCCGATTTATATTGTGTAAATGGACTTTGAGCTTAAATACTGTTCGTTTTCTCCATATTTCATCAAAGGAAATCACTTTTACGAATGAGCTGAAAAATGATAGATTTAAACAACAAAACTAGGCATATAGAGCTGGGCCTCCTTTAATAAATGAAAACAACTTCTTTTTGTACGTGACTTGACAGTAGTCATATCAATTTTTAGTGTTTTTGAATCTCCAATGTATTGTAGGTTTCATCAAACAGCAGCATTTAATTGCCAACAATATTTTTAAAAGAAACACTCTTGATAATTGATCTGATTTTGTGATCTGTAATACAACTAAAATACATAAATTTTTAATAATGTATATCGATCTAGTACAATAAGGACTGGAATTCTTTTTAGAAATATCATATTCTTACAGGGAATAAAACTGACATAGGAGTAAAATATAGACTTAAAATCGAACTCTTTGAAAAAAGTATGTGTGAAGACGAAATCACAAATTATTTTTGAATAAAATACAAACTTAGGGAAAGACCGATAATGAAATTTCTACAAAATAAGGAAAGTATGTAGACGAAACTTTTTTTTCATTACAGGGTTTTAATCAGTGGTCAATCGTAACAAAATAACTTATTTACTTTTCTCTATACTACACACTGGTACACTTATCTATATGTTTTGGTAGGACATTCCTGTGTGGAAACCTATTCTCAGAAACAATAAAGCATTTTGTCGACTAAAAAAATCTATTAGCCGGTGTAAAGACGAATTAAGACCCCGAAGAAAAAAGACCAGGGTCATATTTTGCCGTTGAAAAATGACCTCCAAGCCGTAGAAAAATGTAATATTTCGTAGAGAAAGAACCCTGGTAGTCAATTTTCTACATGTGCAACCTATAGAAATTGACCCACGTTGAATAATGACTCCCCTCTCAACATAGTGATACAAAGTTTAAAAGAGGAGATTGATGACAAGGTTTGGTTCTCAACGTTTATTTCTCTTACATTTTTCTTTCGAACACTGGAAGAAAATGCAATAAAAAATGTTATATAACTGCATTACATGTGTTTGGATCTATTATACCTCTTTAGATATTTTACTAGAGAAAGCCACTAATTAGGCAATCTAAGAAAAAAACTATGATAAACGTGACTTCAAATTCTCTATTTTCAACATCCCTTATTTAAATAGCAATAAACCATTATCGCCTGCATATGGAGGTTATGTCACCCAAACGATACGCGAGAGCATGTACTATTTACGAACAATTTCTAAAATAAGGCAAGATAATTGATAATACAAGGGTATCAACAGTCTCGTTTTGACAGCATTTTGCAAATTTTATGGTCGATATAATGATCTTGTTAGCATATACAAAACATCGTTAAGACGAATGTTGACTGATGTTTTTCATTCAAATTCTTAGGCCGTTATTTTTACACTGAATTGTCTACGATTTCTTCGTTTGTCTGATCATGACAAGGAGCAACAGCGGATATCACCGGTCCATGGCACCTGATCCCACCTCTGATGTTTTTTTAAAAGGTTGGTGTTTGCTCTTCTCATGGTAAATGATCCAATGAACTTTTGAGATTGATTACTACTCATTACATATTACATACTCATTACATATCTTCATATTTCACCTAGCATTGTGTTTTCAGCACACAATAAAAATTGCAAAATAGGTACGTCACAGAGGGTATTGGTTAAAACTGTTATTCTCACCTTTTTTTCATCCATTTCATTATTGAACCCTCACTGCTCAATGGCTCTAAGTGCCTAGTAAAAGTCTAAATTTGAAGCCCTTCGCCGGTTTATCGTTAAATTCCTGTATGAGTGAAAAAATTCTCGTCCGAGACGTAAAACACCACACAATCAATTAATCAATAGAAAGATTTGATGAGACCAACAAATCATCTCTGTATCCTCAATTTACGAATACCTCGGGTGAGCATTTTGGTCCACGGGCCTTTTGATTTATAATAATCAAAAATACATGTATATCCCTAACAAAGTCTATAGGGGGTCATTATTCTACGGGAGTCATTTTTCTTCACGTAGGATATGCAGATTTTAAGGATGATGCCACTTTTTCTACGAGCAAAAGGGTCATTTTTCGACATCGAAAAATGAACCCCAGTCATTACTCCACGGGGGTCATTATTCGTCTTGACAGCGGAAACCAGTTCTCTGTCATTCTCTCATTTCTTTGAAAATTACTCCAACTTCAAATCAAATTATTTATATAGCACATGTATTCTGCAATTTTTAGTTCAATTGTAGATGTTTTGTTGTGAATTTGAATTATCGTTCCTTGTATTATAAATAGGCACGAAGCATATATTTTGACATTTTGTTCTGAATACAGTGATTTAACTTAGACTATAAAAAAGACACTTTCAGGAAACAAATAACCTTTTTCTTCTATCATGTCATTAAAAAAATTAGCGGTGTACATTTTTACTCTTTAAGTTTCATTTTGATTATCATAATTATAGGGCGTACATGATACACTGTCTTATAGTTTTATCGCAAAATGAAAATCAATCTTCACTTGTCACTTTTTTTTTCTTTTTATTCCAATTTGTCCTTTGAATATCCTTCTAAAAACATACCTTAATTGAAAGTAAAAAAGATAAATGTAGCAATGAAAGGAAAACGACATGTTTATTTAACGTAAAAAACGACCAAGCTACCCTTGTTTATCAAGTAAACCGGCTGTGTTGACGACAGTCTACAACGAAAATGGCGACATGTTCAGACAAAGACCACAGTGATGTAAGTGATAAACGCTTGTGTTCTATTTGTTCTGGTCGCCTTGTATCACCAAGATATTTGCATTGTTATCATTCGTTTTGTCATGGATGTTTGGTTTCCCATATCGTTGCTTCGTGCGAATCAACAGATGATCCGGTGGGCTTTTCCTGTCCGTTATGTAGAAAATTTATATCCGCGCCAGATTTAACGAAGGATCCAGCGGAATGGGCTGACGATTTACCTTTGAATCGTGCCCTATTGGTACTGCTCGATGAAGAAACATCCTCCTATGATTCAAAATATTGTCAAGCCTGTCAACGAGATAACCAAGAAGAAAGAGGAAGTGACTGGTGCAATTCTTGCTTGGAATATTTATGTAAATCTTGCGCAATTGCTCATAGGAAAAACAAAGCATCAGTCGATCACACCGTTATACCTCTAGGTGAATTATTAGTGGACAGTCCACTCATTGACGAAAGCAATTTATGCGAAATGCACGAACAGCAAAAAATTGAGTACTACTGTTACGATCATAGCAAACCGTGCTGCCGCACGTGTGTATGCAGGAACCACAGGATATGTGTTGATGTCAAGTCTGTTGAAAGTGTTGCCGAGCTTCTGCAAGACAATAAAGATATTGACCAACTACTGAGGGACATTGATAGCTATAAAAATACACTGCAAATCATTTCAACTGAGGAAGAGAACAATATTGTGAAAGTAGATAATAATGTCGACGAAATTACTGAGAAGCTAACACAGTTAAAAGCGAATCTAACTTCTCATTTTGATAAGCTGGAAAATGAGGCATTGACCAAGCTATCAAAGATGTCCAAAGAATGTAAATCACGTATAAATACTGTTCTTGATGAAATATCGAAAAGAAAACAATTTTTGGAATACTGTCATGGCAATTTGCAAACACTGAAAGAAAACAACTCAAGCGTCGTAAGAGTGGTCAAGTACAATAATATTAAGAGAAATTTTGAAGAAATGAAACACTCTCAGGTTTTACAAACGAATATAGATTTTAGGGCGCCAGTGAAGAGTGACATTGAGGAGATTCTTAATAAATCCAACTTGTTGGACCTTTCTGTTTCTTGTCACAAATACTGTTCCAGATTTACATTTGACGTGACAACTGCAACGATGAAAATATTTACTGAATTTAAAGATAGGAATACTCATGATGTTGCTGCTGCAATATTAACTTCGGATAATGAAATTATCTTGGTTGAATATCAAGGAAAGGCATGTAAGTTGTTTAATCCCGAAGGGTCACTTCTAAAAACATTATCAGAATTTAATGAGTATCCTCGAGATATATCATATGGACGTGACGAAATCTTGGTATCGATTCCTGGCGAGAAAAAAGTTAAAAGATTGTCAATAGATGATTTTGAACATTCGGAAACAATTTTGATGGAAGAAAATTGTTTTGGGATTGCATCGTTTGATGGACATATATATGCGTCAACAAATGAGGGCATCATTAAGCTTGACGAAAAAGGCAAAAGGTTAGGAATATATCCTACAACAGGGTGTTCCTTTAATATCGCAGTAGATTTCAGAGGAAATGTAATTTATTCTGAGAGTAACAGCCATATTGTGAAATGTATCAACCAGGAAAAGGAATTACTTTGGTCTTATAAACACCAGAAACTATCAAAACCATATGGTCTGAGCACAGATTGCGTCAGAAACATATATGTAACTGGAAGAGACAGTAGTAACATTCATGTTTTATCAGAAGGAGGAGAACTTCTTCGAATATTTGAAAATATACCACGACCATGGGCTATAAAATTCCTAGAAAATACATTAAAATTTGTTATTATCACTGAAAACAATCATGTTCAAGTGTATGAGCTTGAAAATGAAAGAAGGAAGCAGCTTACTCGCAAGACTTACAAAGATGAGAAATGCTCCATGAAACAGGAAGAAAACGAATGTGAATAGTAATTTTACACGTAAAAGTAATGTTAATTTTTTGTCTTCTGTTTCATGCCAAGTCGGACGAATTTGAGCCATGTCTCAGTTAATTTTTTTATACTATTTTTATATTCTTTAAAATCTTTTTTGGTAGTGATCTAAAAATGTTCAAAAATGATCATCAATTAAAGCAAAAATAATTATTGTGATAATTATGAACTGAATAAATACAAGTAAATTGTATCACCTTAGCTGAAGTCATGAAAGGTACAATTTCATAAATCTCGATTTTACATACCCAAACCCTTAATGTACTCATAAGTAATTATAATCTTCAACAGACGCCCCAGAAGACTGAGATTACATGTATGTTCTGCATAGAAGAAGCTGAGAATTACTCTGGTAATTGTTCTTAAGCTGAAAAGGTGCTTAAGTAGCCTGAATAATGATAAAATGTTTTAAAAGAGTATATTCATAAACAAATTAAATTCATTACAGTCTACTTACTGGTAACCTTCTTAGAGAGAAAATCACATTGAATTTTTAAAACTTCATCATTTATTCATTCACTTTTTTATGCTCCCGTATCGAAGATTTGGGGTAAATGCATATAGTGTTTGCTCTGTCCGTCCGTCTAGCTGTCTGCTTGTCTGAAAAAAAAAATTAAAAATTCCCAATAAATTTTGATTGGTTGGAGCTATGGCTTTCATATTTCACATGTATATTCCTTGTGACAAGAACTTTCTTTGGGTACCATCATATTTCACTTTTTGACCTTGGAGTTTGACCCAGTTTTGCAAAATTTTACCGCACTTTAACCTTGGCCACAACTTTTGAACAATTGGTGCTAGGGCTTTCATATTTCACATGTGTAATTCTTCTGATAGGACCTTCCTTAGGGTACTAACAACTGTGACCCTTTGATCTTGACCAAGGAGTTTGACCTACTTTTGAAAAGCTTAAACTTTGGCCATAACTTTTGAACGGTTGGTGCTAGGGCTTTCATACTTCGTATATGTTATCCTTGTGACAAGACTTTCCTTTGGATACCAACAACTTGACCAACAGACGTTGCCCTTGATGTCTGACTTACTTTTGAAAAACTTTAACCTTTTTCATATATATTCAATGGTTGCTTCTAGGGCTTTCATATTTCACATGTATATTCCTCGAGACAAGGCCTTATTTTGTGTACCAACATATTTGATTTGCATTTGAGAAAGATTAACCTTTGCTATAGGTCGCCCGCATTGCTGAGTGGTAGAGCGTCTGCTCTAGAGTTGCGGAGTAAGGAGCTGATCCTTACGTCGCGTGTTCGAATCCCATTGTGGGACGTGGTGACCGGTCCCTCGGATGAGACCGTATAAACCGAGGTCCCGTGTCGAAGTAGAAGTTCACTCATTGCTCAGTGGCCGAGTATAGGTCAAAATTTGCACCTCTCCACCGGCAAGTGGTGGCGTCTCCATATGAGTGAAAAACTCTCGTGAGGGACGTTAAACAATACACAAACAAGCAAACAAACCTTTGCTATAAGTTGCCATACGACGGGGACATCAGTGTTTCACAAGCACATTTTGTTTTATTAAGGTCAGCGGAAGACCTTCTTGTTATTCTTCGGTTTCTTTTCCACTGTTTTTCTTATTATTTTTTTTCTTACCGATTTTGTGCACGCAATTTCTCGAAAACGGTTCGCTCGATTTTCATGAAACTTTCAGGTCTGATAGAACATTTAAAAATCTTGATAGAATTTTTTTTATTTTGATGACGTCACTTCCGGTCCAAAGATTTTTGCGATTTAGTGATTTTTGGAGGGTCAGTTTGTCCGCAGGTTTTCTAAGAAGCCACTCATCACAGGAACATGAAACTTTTAGGGAAGACAGAGCAATATATGTAGATCTGTAATACGTAGTTAACTTTCACCGGAAGTGCCACACGTCGACGCTCGCTATGGCCTGAAAAAAGTCGTATCGATAATTTCAAAATTTCGAACACTGTCTTTATGATATCTTTTTACTTGGAAATATTTTGTTAAAACATATATAACAAAATTTGTGCAGAATTATAAGATTATAATGATATCTCAAAAAAGGGCTGGCACCTAAAACAAGGAATCTAAAGGGGCCAAAATATTTTTCCTGATATCTCAAAAAGTATTTAGAATTTGTAATACTTCAAAGAAGAAAAGTTGTTCAACATGACAAGTAGCAGCTTGCGAGATCATAAAAATACGTCGAATGACGTCACTTCCGGCAAAACAGGAAGTAGTAGAAAATAGCTTATTTTTACAGATATTGGTACAGTGCTGCTATCCCACAAGTTGACATGGGATGGGATTGGATAGGATTCAGGATTGAGGATTCACAATAGAAACATATAGTGGTTAATCCAATCCTATCCTATCCTATCCATCCTATCCTATCCCATCCTTCAGCCTTCAGATTGGAGTTAAGGTTAATTCATATTTCAAAATAAATTACAGAAACGCAAAAGGACATAGAACGTTTACAAAAGAAATATTTATAAAATCACAAAAGAAAATAAACATTTTTTTTTCTTCACACACTTTTATCTATTACCTTGGAGTAATATGGCGTACGATCTAACCGTGAACGATCACCGGAAGAAGTTTCGCATGTAAACAAAGAAGAGATCGGACATCAAAAGATCGTATTTTCTTCAGCATGTGTGGATGATTAACTCGATTCCTACTTGTGTTACAGTTCAATAACATGTTTCTCTGTTAAATGTGCTCTGTTTGTCTGGATAATTCCACTTGAACCGTCAGCGGCGGACTATAACAGATCATAATCGCAGTTGTTTGGTGCAAGACCATGTAAGTATGTACTACACACTGTAAATGTGTGCATGTTTATACATATCTCTCCCTTTACGCAATGTTTTAATGCCTTGAACTATTAAAATTTTATTCTATTGTAATTTACACAGAAATCGGATGCGGAAAAAAGAGGTTGTGTAGAAAGGGGACGGGTAGGGGGTTAAATATTTACAAATACTTTGTCACATGATCAGATGTATTACACCTTTTTCAGTTTCTTATTGCTATATAATCATTTCCCTACTGTGGTTAAAAAATATTTTTTGTTATCTGATTGCAATTTAAAATAATTAAATGCAGAATCATCATGATCATTTCTTATGCTACTGTCAGGTCTGGTACAATCACTAGATTTAGCTATAGCTTGAATTACCTACATAGCTTTATTTACCTACCTGAAGTAGCTTTATTTAGCTTCTAAATCAAACTTATTTCTTAAAGAAGAATTTTTCCCAAAAAGTGCAGAAAATTGCACTTTGATGCAGTGATAATTTTCAATTTTGAACTCATCTGAAAACAATTCATGAAAAAATCACTCTTGGAGATGTGTATTTTTTTGCGCAATTGCAATCAAAGTTCTAAAAGTTTTGGGGCTACATACAACAGTTAATTTGTGACCTAACAGTTACTTCTTGAGTGTAATAACAAAGAAAACCAGTTTTGGTTAACATGAGCACCAATCTGATTAAAATCAGATCTTTGTTACGCTCCGAAATTCTGATGGTCGCTGTACAAAGATCTGAAGACATCCCATTGAGGGTCACGTCAGAATGAACTTTGTACAGCGACCATCAGAATTTCGGAGCGTATCAAAGATCTGATTTTAATCAGATTGCATGAGCACAAAAATAATCATCCACGCCTCATCGCGCACAAGGTGTGTACAGTTACTCAAACAATGGGAATACATATTTTCCTTAAAAGTGATCAAACGCAGCAATGTTAAAACTATCTCTACTTTAGATTGCTTTTTAAATGATACCTAGAATAAATATTAGTAGACATTTTCTTGCGACTTTCTGTCTTTTTAAAATAAAAAGGAAAATTGTGAAAAGTTGCCTTGAAATAGCTACATGTAAATAAAGCTACCTGAGGTAGATAAATAAAGCTACGGTAGGTAATTTTAGCTACGTGCTGGACCTGACTGTGTATAATAAGCTCATTCAGCACTTGCATGTACATTGTATGTATGACCTATTGTGAGTTAAACATAAAACATGTAACATAAATTAATCATTTATTATTCTTCTTCATTCTAGAGAATGGTACCCAATTTTGCCTGCCCTCATCAGTTATCACAATATAAAAGATTTTACATTCAGAAATAGGTATGATTAGAATTTTTTTTGTGTTTATGCTTGTATCATTAAAATACATAAAAATCATTATCTAAGTTGAGATGAAGTGTCTGCAGATTTTATGAATAAGTGATTTTCTTCTTTTTAAAATGTTGACAGTAAAACTGAAATTAATATATAATTGTTCTGGTCATCATGCTCATGTTATATGTATTTTCATTTTTTTTATATTCAAATTTCAAGCAAAAAATGAAAAGAAATTAACAACCAAACATGTACTCATACTAGTTAGCAAGTCGAGGGGATAAATGAATTATAATCTACAAGTAAATTATGTAAATTATGATTGTTTAATTAAGATATGAGTTATGACTATGAAGTTGCAGTATAAGATTTGATTTTGCTTGATTTCTTTAAAATTAATGCATTACTCTGGGAGAGAAAAAGGTGAAATTAAGACAATTGTACATGAAATGAGAAAGATAATCACAATCAAATACAGTTTTAATGTATAATGTATATGACAAAATTTACAATATACATGCATATAATGGTGTGTGTTTTTTTTCTTCAGGACAATCCTACAAATTTGCAGCTGTACAAATTGCACTTCATCTCATCTGCTGCTGGAATAAATAATGAAAAATTTTCAAACCAGTGTCCAAGAGCCCCCTAGAGTTTGAAATGAAGGTGTTCTTTATTAAGGAGATCAGTGTGTGATGTATTTGTTTTCTGTGCGTTGATGACATTTGTGAAACTGTTTGGTTACTTTATGACCATCTCTCTGACAACTACTTTGACATTTGAAATTCAATTTGAGCGACAGACAAGCAGACCAAATAATATGCATGTAAAACATTATACAATTGTAATAAGACATTGATAAACTTCAA